AAATTTCAAGGTTATAAAGGTCTATTCAAATTAAGCTAATTTAAAATGTATGCTTAACTGCCTATGTCTCTGTCAATCCCTCAACTAATAAATAAATGCTATTTTTCCTGCCAGGATGTATTATTAGGCTTTTTGGCTAATAGATTTGGTATAATAAATTCAAGTATAATTTTAAATCTATTTATACTGTTCTACTATATTATTAGTTCTAAAACTCATGACTCATGCAATGTGATAGGCCCAGCGGGATCAACAGTCTATAAGCTGCATCTATAGTAAAAGTTTTGCTTTGATACTAGTTCAAAAATTGATTTACAAAAAGCTAATTAAGCTTTGCCTAGTCTCTTGTTTTACATTTTCAAGGTTAGACCTAGGATGGGTAACTATACAATCAAAGTTTGTTTGGCCCAGGTATATTTAATCCATTATGGTCCTCAAACCTGTCAGAAACCTGCAGAATAATACGTTTAGATGCTTAATAAACAGGCTCAATGTGACAGAGACCCCAGCTTTTAGCGGTGACCCCAAGGCCTCCAGGAAGACTTGGGCACAGCGGCAGATGACTCTACCTGAATTGTGCTGTTGAGCAAGCCTGCCCCAGCTGCTTCACTGCCTGAGCTGTGGACAGACACGATACCTGGAGAGTTGACTGCTCTGTTTTGCCTAGACAAAATAAGGTTAGTCATTCTCCCAAATTCCTCTTCCATGGAAAGGACTCTCAGATTTGCCGGGCCCAACGCCCGAAGACTGATGCTGTGAGGTGGCCCTAGAACTTGTGCCCATAAGAACCACTGTCTCCCCAGGAGCCTAATGGGAAGGGCATCTGGATAACGGGTGAGCCTCTGTCATATTAAGCAATACCTGGGCCGCTTGGATTATGCTTCCTGTGGTAATTTATCCTCCTCAGGTCTCTGATGGGGTTGAAGGCCAGTTTAACAGCAGAAACTAAGGCTTCAGCTGCCTTCTCAAAAATGTACAGTTTCAAATTTTCTTGTTCTGTTGCTCTCCTTGTGGAGTACCTGTCCTCTCCAGCTCTTACTATTTCCCACTTACATAAAATTCCATTCACTCTGCCCAACAGTTGGCCATCAGACTCAGCATCTGCTTTGATAGCCTGCAGGGCAGAGGCTTTCAGAGGCCCTCTGTGGCAGGTTCCTAGTTTGTTTCCTGTTTTGTTCTTCTGGCTTTCAGAGGCCCTCTGTAGCAGGTTTCTAGGTTGTTTCCTGTTTTCTTCTTCTTCTGATGTCCATCCTCTTTGCCTTTCAGGTGGGGATTGAACATTTTCGTTAGGGTCCTCTCTCTTGCTTGGTTTCTTTAGATGCATAGATTTTAGTGGGTTTATCCTATGTTGTGTGTCTGTATGAGTGAGTATATACCGTGTGTGTCTTTTTGCTTCTGGGACAACTCACTCAGGATGATCCTTTCCAGGTCCCACCATTTACCTGCAAATTTCATGATTTCCTTATTTTTCATTGCTGAGTAATACTCCATTGTATAGATGTACCACAGTTTCTGCATCCATTCTTCAGTTGAGGGGCATCTGGGTTGTCTCCAGCTTCTGGCTATTACAAATAAAGCTGCTACAAACATGGTTGAGCAAATGTCCTTTTTGTGTACTTGAGCCTCTTTTGGATATATGCCTAGGAGTGGTATGGCTGCATCTTGAGGAAGCGCTATTCCTAGTTGTCTGAGAAAGCACCAGATTGATTTCCAGAGTGGTTGTACAAGTTTACATTCCCACCAGCAGTGGAGAAGGGTTCCACTTTCTCCACAACCTCTGCAGCATGTGTTGTCACTTGAGTTTTTTTTGATCTTGGCCATTCTGATGGGTGAAAGGTGAAATCTCAGGGTTGTTTTGATTTGCATTTCCCTAATGGAAAGGACTATTCATGGAGATAACCTAGAATCCCTGCACAGATGTAGCCCATGGTAGGTCAGTGTCCAAGTGAGTTACCTAGTAATGGGAAGAGGGACTGCCTCTGACATAATCTGATTGGCCTGCTCTTTGATCACCTCCCCCTGAGGGGGGAGCAGCCCTACCAGGCCACAGAAGAGGACAATGCAGCCACTTTTGACGAGAACTGATAGACTAAGATCAGAAAGGAGAGGAGAACCTCCCCTATCAGTGGACTTGGGGAAGGGCATGCATGCAGAAACGGGAGGGAGGGTGGGATCGGGAGGGGAGGAGGGAGGGGCTTATGGGGGGATACAAAATGAATAAAGTGTAATTAAAAAAATAAAAAAGTTAAAAAAAAGAAAAAAAAGATTAAAAGAAGTAAAGATAATATAATTGACCCATAAAGGAGCCTAAAAAAAAAAGTAGTTTCTGTAAGGTCTGAGCTTCAGGTAAAATGTGTGAGGGTCTAAGAAGATGTTTGAAGGTTGATAAGTGCAAGTTATGAAGGTTGGAAGGTCTGAGATAATTTAAGGTATCCTAAACAAATGAAAACGCTCCCATATTTCTTCCTTTGTTGTGCTGTTGTACTGACTGCCCTGAGCTTTGACATTTATCACTAGAGCTCTCATTTATTAATCTAACTCTAATAAAAACATTCCACTATAAGATCCACTATCATAGTTCCAAGCTCAAGATTTTAAATCTTTTTTGGGTTGTCTTTAAGTATAAACTTAGAAGTTGTGTCTTACTGTGCTAGACTTATGCACATACACAAGCCTTTTCTACAGTGTACATTTCAATGCATAGTACAACAGTGATGCTAACATGTCTACAGTTTTATTTCCTCTGTAAAAGAGACTCTTGTAAACTGTAGAAAATCCACCTCTCAGGTCATTTGGGCTCCAGGTTAGTACTGTACCTACTGTCTATCTCAAAAGGTGGGATCCCCCACTCCCTTCCCTGGTTTTGGGACTCCGCTTTCCTGACTATCAGATTACTACATCCATACATCCAACACCTGTGGACTGATGAGTTCCTTTCCATGGTCAGCGTAACATTTCCCTTTGTCTGAGAGACTGGGCAACAGAGGTACCCTCCCTTCTCGCCCACCCTCACACAGATGTCTTCCCTTGGGTGAATAATCTTTTTCTTCTTACTGACATGGTCTCTCGGCTTTTCCTTTCCTCTCGTGCTGGAAAATCCTAGTACCAGGTGAGGCCGTGTCTCCCGGAGTCTTCCCTGCGGCCCCTGGCAGTGCTCGTGACGACCTGTTTTGCTAGCTTGTGTTCCCGTACCTCTGGCTCTCCTGTGCTTTTTGGGGATGCCAGAAAGACTGGGAGAGCTGACTTTTCTCTGCACCCATGCGAATCGTGTCCTCCACCACACCCAGGCTCTCCTCCGAGATGCCTTCCAAATAACTTCACACTTGAGCACCAGTGCCCGCTTTAAGGGCCTCTAGACTTCCCACTTCTACAACCACCGTCTTCTTAAATGACAGCTCCAAAGCAAAATCTTTTTAATCACTGTCAGCGATCAGGAAAATTGAGGTTCCCTTAGGTAAATGGAGTTTCAAGCTTCTCTTCTTTGATCCAAACCTTCCCTCTCTGTCCTCTCTCCCAAAAGTTTCAAATGTACACCTAAAGGTAATACACACCTAAAAGAAAGTTTCTCCATAACCTACTTAATTTTGTCTTCTACATATATATATATATATATATATATATATATATATATATATATATATATATATATATATACACATATATACATATATACATACATACACGTTCCAGTATCCTGGCAGACCTAGGTGTTTCCTCCATCCATGATGTCAACAAAGCAGCTGCCTACAGAGGTCAAGCAGGGCCTGCACTTTTCTCTCCCAGCCACAAATGTTCTCACCTGGACAGCACCAAAACAGCCTGTTCTTCCTGGACTTGGCCAGCATTTCAGCCTTTTGACCTCCCCACAGTGGCCCCAGTGTCAGCAGGAAGTAGCCAGAAGATAATCTTTGCCTGTTATTCACTTATTATTAACAAAAGGCTAAAATGGTGTGCTTCAAGTTGAGGATATACAGCTCCAGGTTCTTCCAGCATTCCTCAGTCCCTATCTGCTGCTGGGGCATGGCTGGCAAATCCCACCTCTACCCTAAGCTTTCCAGGGCAGGGACTTCCCTTCCTCTTGACTATGTAATCTGAACATTTTGGTGCCCTTTTCCCCTCTTTCTCTCCTCCTTGCATGGCAGCCAAGAGTTGCTTCCAGTGAGCCCACATTTACATACTTTAACTTGCCTCCAATGTCCTCCTTCCCGCCTTGCCTCCCTCCCTAGCTCCTCATTTCTTTAATTAAACAAAACAGGAGGAATGCTATGTTGTGCAGGCAATTCAACCGGCTTCCCCTTAGGGACTTTTAGGGTCCTAAAGCTTATGACATCATCTGGGCCAGGTACTTAGTGACCCGTCTCTCTTTCTCTCCCCATCTCCATCCAACAAACCTCTTTTATATAAGCTCGGTTGTGTGCATGGCATTTTTATATAAATACTAACAATACCGATACAAAAACTTAAAAAACAAACAAACAATAATAAAGTGCCACTCATTACCTGAAGAAAAATGACGAAAGCTGTCTGACTGAAATACACCATGGAGAACCATCAATTGATAATACGGTTTTGGAATGACACTCACATATTTGCGATTTAGAATTTTAATTGCCAGACCCAGGCCCTGTTGGCTGGGGAAAGGGTTTAGGATCTGAGCTCCTACTTCTGGTACCTCCACAAGGCTCAGAGGGAAAGGGGGGAAACTTTGGGAGGAGGAACTTCCCAGTTGCTCTCCCGCAGGAGCCTCCTCGGCCTGGGACTCCTTCAGAGCATCACCCGCTCTGACAAGCTGGCCGCTGACGCAGGGAGGCCGCCGCAGGGGAAAGAACTGGAAGCAAAAACCCGATGTTCCGCTCAGCTCCTCCCTTCCGGGGCACGGGAGGACGCTAGGTCCGCGCACTTGCCCACCTCCGCCCCAGGCCCCGGGGACCTGGCCCGGCGCCCCTCGGCGCGGACGCCGCCTACCTAACCCTGCGCGCAGCCTCGCGGCCCTCGCTCACCATCTCCATGGCTCTGCCGCAGCTCCAGCACCCGCAGCTCCCTGAGCAGCAGATTCCGTCAGGGCCACCCCGGGCTTCCAAAAGCCGGGAACCACCCCAAGCCGCTTCCCAGCACAAAGGCCGGAGACCGCGCATAGGCTCGCGAGATTGTCGAGGCCCGCCCCTTCGCTCTCGAGTTTGAGTGGCAGGTTCTCGACCAACACACTCCGAGCAGAGCGACTCCCCCACTCCCCCTACCCCCAGCTCCCCGAGCTCCCGAGAGCTCCCTGAGCATCCTCCTCCGCCTTGACTGACAACAAACAGCACCAGGTTGTCCCAATGTCAAGCTCTAGGCTGAAACCGCTTTAGGGGAGGGCATCTGAGGATTTAGTTCGCAGCGGGAGCTGTGGTCTTCTGCGTAACGCCGTGTGTGAGTTGCGTGCACTTACGATCTACAGTTGCAGAGATCATAATGACAATTCTTTTCTATTCTTTTCCATGTCCTAGAACTTGTTTGGACTCCGTTCTCCTGCCTGGGTTTTGAGATAGGAAGCTCATTCCCAAGTCAGCGGTGTCCAGTACAAACAAACGAGGAGAGGTTCAATCTAAAACAGTCTAGTGTTCTCTTTAAGAAATTAAGAGCTGCGTGTGCTAGCGCATGCTTCCTATCCGAGGCTGAACATGCTCAGGGGCTAGTGAGGATGGAGCCTTCCCTCCTCCTCAGCTAGGAGACCCCTTCTTTGCCGGGGAACACCAGTTTTAAGAAAGGGAAGCATCACAGCGATGCTACAGACAACTTGGAAGAACAGGACCGCACCTGATGTAATGCTAGCCGAAAAGGGAAATGCTTGTGTTATGCTTGCTTGGAGATTTTATTTCATATACTACAGTTTCTAATGGGACAATTATCATATCCTCCTCCTCTGCAGGACTCCCTGAGCTCTGCCTAAGGTGTGGCTGTGGGACTTTGCGTCTGCTCCTCTCAGTTGCTGGATGAGGTCTCTCTGGGCTCTTTGAAGACAACTCTGCTAGGCTCCGGTACCAGCACACTGCAGGCAGGACAGACTGTAGGTCAGGGGTCTTGCGCCTGGGTTGATCTCCAGTCTCTGCACTTGAGGCCTTGGGTGGTTACACAAGAAGGCTGTTCAGGCTCTGTGTCCCCCATGACTAGGTCTCTGCTAGGGTCACTCTCGTAGATTCCCTGGAGTTTCCATTGCACTGGGTTTTCACCTGACTCCTGAGATGACGCTCACTTTCATTAATTCCTCCCAGTCTACCTGCCCCCCTCCGATCCTTCCTGGTTCTAACCTCACATGTCCCCAGTCCACTTGCGAACGTTATTTTATTTCCCCTTCCCGGGGAGGCCCTTTAGTTCCCCTTAAGGCCTCTTGCCTGCATACCCCATCTGGGTCTGTGGACGGTAGCATAACTGTCGTTTACCTTACAGCTAGCACCCACTTATAAGTGAGTACATGCTTGTTTATCTCTCCGGGTCCGGGTTATCTCATTCAGGATGATTTTTTTTTTCTAGTTCCACCCTGCATTAATTCTTGAATAAAGGGACTAAAAATAAACAAAAGAAATTCTCGCCGAAACAATAACCAACCAACAAATGCCCAGAGCATGGCAACACAACCTAATATTTTAGCTATTAGAACAGGCTGTCTGTCTTAAGATAAAGATTGTCAATGAATGCTATATCAGGTTTTTAAAAATTAAAATAAATCTAAAGCCAAGACTGATAAACATAAAGGAAAAAGAGGGGGTATTTTAAGAAATAACTAAACACGGTACATTTTCAGTATGAGGTGTATTTAGACCTCACAGAGAGTCACAGATAAGCAAAAGACATTAAAGTCCCGTCTTCTGCAGCCGGTAGCTGGCCCTGCTTGTCTAGGCATTCTCAGTTCACCACAGGGTTGAAAAGGACCCTCACGTATGTTTAGCCTGTACGCAAGTCCAATAAATTCTTTGGTTTCCTAAAATGGACTTTAGTGGAATTGTAGAACAAGCTGGCATTTGTTTACATTGACTCAGGGAAAGAGATCCTGGAACATATGACTTCACTGAAAAATGTCTTTGTGCCTTTAGAAAGGAATTATTTACCTTCTTTTTTAATTTTCATTTTTTTTTAATATTAGTTACAGTTTGTTAACTTTGTATCCCTGCTGTATCCCACTCCCTCTTTCCCTCCCAATCCCACCCTCCCACCCTCATCTCCTCTCTGCCCCTTTCGAAGTCCACTGATAAGGGAGAACCTCCTCCCCTTACATCTGATACTGGTTTATCAGGTGTCTTCAAGACTGGCTGCAAAGTCCTCCTCTGTGGCCTAGCAAGGCTGCTTCTCCCTGGTGGGGGCGGGGGGGAGGTAAAAGAGCCCGCCATCAAGTTCATGTCAGAAACAGTCCCTGTTCCCCTTATTAGGGTACCCACTTGGATAGTGAGCTACCAAGGGCTACATCTGAGCAGGGGCCCTAGGGTGCATCCATACATGGTTGTTGTTTGGAGAAACAGTCTCATAAAAGACCCCTGTGCCCAGATATATTTGGTCCTTGTGGAACTCTTGTGCTCTCCAGGTCGTATTACCCCCCTCCCCCTTTTTTTGGTTCCCTGCATTCTGCCGGAGGTTTGGTTATGAGTCTTAATATCTGTTTTGGTACTATTCAGCAATTAAAAATGAGGAAATCATGAAATTTGCAGGCAAATGGTGGGACCTAGAAACGATCATCCTGAGTGAGGTATCCCAAAAGCAGAAAGACACACATGGTATATACTCACTTATATAGACCTATAAGATAGGATAAATATACTGAAATCTATCCATCTAAAGAAGATAAACAAGAAAGAGGACCCAGGGTACGATGATCAATCCTCACTTAGAAAGACAAATGGGATGGACATTGGATGTAGGCGCAAACAAGTGACAGGACAGGAGCCTAGCACAGAGGGCCTCTGAAAGACTCTACCTAGCAGTGTATTTACCTTCTTTTATACCCAACCTACTGGATAGTTTTATGTCAACTTGACACAAGCTAGAGTCATCTGAAAGGAGGGAACCTCAGTTAAGAAAATACCTCTATAATATCAGGCTGTAGACAGGCCTGTAGGGCATTTTTCTTAATTGGTAATTGATGGGGTAGAGCCCAACCTACTGGATGGTGCCATCCCTGGGCTGGTGGTCCTGGGTTCTATTAGAAAGCAGGCTGAGAGGCCATGGAGAACAAGCCAGTAAGCTACACTCCTTCATGGTCTCTGCCCTCCTGCCTCCAGATTCCTGCCCTGTTTGAGTTCCTGTCCTGACTTCCTTAAATGATGGACTCTGGTGTAGAATTGTAAGCCAAATAAACCCAACTTGCTTTTTTGGTGATGGTATTTCATCACAGCGATAGTAACTTTAACCAAGACACCCATGACCCTCCCCCCAACTTCCCACAAAGTTTTTTTTTAATTCCCTTTTATTAAAGATTGATTCTTTACTCATACAATATATCCTGATTACACTTCCCTTTCCTCTACCCATCCCAGTTCCTCAGCTCTTCTCCTCCCATCTGGAGCCACTACCTTTCTGTCTCTCCTTAGAAAAGAGCAGGCTTCTAAGAGATAACAAAACATAACAAAATAAAATATAAGATAAAACAGAAATCATCATATGAAGTGGGAAAAGACAAACCAAAAGAAGAAAAAGAGCCCCAAGAAAGGCACAAGAATCAGAGGTCCATCGGATTTTATGGGACTCCATTACATACTCAGGAGTCCCATAAAAATGCTAAAGATATAATAAATACACAGAGAACCTAGTGCAGATCCATGTAGGCCTGTGCTTGCTGATTCAGTGTCTGTGAGTTCGTAGAAGCCTTGTTCAGTTAGTTCAGGGGGTCTTGTTCTCCTGTGTCCCTCGGCTCCTCTGGCTCTTATACTCTCTCTCTGCCTCCTCTTCCACAGGGTTCCCTGAACTCTGAGGGAAGGGATTTGATGGAGACATCCCATTAAGAGCTCTGTGTTCCAAGGTCTCTTATTCTCTACACAATGTCTGGTTGTGAGTTTCTGTATTCTCATCTTCTGCAGGAGGAAATTTTTCTGATGATGGCTGAATAAGGCACTGATATATGAGAACAGCAGAATATCATTAAGAGTCCTTACACTGTTCATTTACAAAAAAAATCAGTATTATTTGATTTTACTCGAGGCCTCTGGATTATCTACTGTCTGGTTCTTGGTTGTTCAGGCAGGGTTGGTTATGGGTTGCATCTTGTGGAGTGGGTCTTAGTAAAATCAGGCATTGGTTGGTTCCCCTAAAGCTTTGTGCCACCATTGCCCTAGCATATTTCGTAGGCAGCACAGATTGTAGAGTAAAGGTTTTGTGGCTGGGTTGGTGTTTATGCTTCTCTTTTGGTAGCCTGCAAAGTAGCACCTCCTGTACCAATGACACTAGCACTTAGGGGTGAAGGTTCTATGTAGCTTCAACTTGACCTCTCCATGTTCAGTGAGTTGTGTGGGCATTGTTTTCAGCAATGGGGCCTTGCTGTCAGTCTGTGAAGAGCAACCTGTTGTCTTGGCAACAGTCTAGATTGTTTGGGGGATTTTCATGGGACCTCTTTGGCCAAGAACTCAACTGGATACATCCCAGTCTTGGAACTGGAAGCTTCATTTGGTAACACGAAATGGCCAATTTCTTGTTAATGGACTGCTTCATTATTTAGGATGTTCATAGGATCAAGTTCATATATTTTAGGAAGTTTATCCTGTACTGTTTCCGTACCACCCCTCAAATGCCCTTCAATTCTAGATGTCTTTCCCTCATTCCCTCTGTCAAACCCTTCTCCCCCTTCCTTCTCTCCTGATCCTTCCATTCCTGTACTCCCTGTTCCCTGTACACCCATAAAATCTATTCAACTTACCCCCCCCCATGTGTCCTCCCCAGTCCCTTCCTCTATAGCTAACCTCTCTAATTCTATGGTTTGTTGCTTGGTTATCATTTATTTAACAGCAAATATCTACATATAAGCAAATATGTACTGAATCTTTCTGGGTCTGTGTTACCTGATTCAGAATGATATTTTTCTAGTTTCAGCCATTTGCCTACGAATTTCATGGAGCCTTTTTTTAAACAGCTGAGTCTTAGAATA